ATTGGAAAATTAAATAAATTTATTCTATTAATTTCAGAATCTTTCGGGATAACTGATGGTGAATATGAAATACAATCTTCTTCCATTTGATGATCGGGTATCTCTATCTCGATTGTTGATCTTATTGGATTATTATTATTATTATTTTCTTTTTCTTTTTCTTTTTCATTTTCTATTTCTTTTTCTTTTTCTTTTTCTTTTTCTTTTTCTTTTTCATTTTCAATATTTGATGTTATAGGATTGGGACTATAAACCAATGGTCGAGGAGGTGCTATAGGTGTTTTTGGTGTACTCTGTCGTGGACTGATTGGTGGTGGCTCATTTAAACCAGGTGGAGTCTTAGGAAGCTCATTAGATGAATTTATATTTGGTTCATTAATTATTTCTTGTTGTTGCATTCTAACTCTTTGTGGTTTTTTTACATGCACATGCGCATTCCATGGACAACGTTTCTCTTTTTGATCTATAGGTGTATCAGCTCGTGTTCTTTTAGGTATCTGATTTGTCTTTTCTTTATTACTATTCTCACTGACTAATAAAATCGGACTTCCCTCTGGTGCACGTGGATCATTCTCAATAGCAATTTTCTTTTTCTTTTTTGATCTTGTTTTTTTCTTTCTAAGGATGTTTTCTTTTTCTAATATTTTTCCTTTCGATGTTGGTGAAAGACTTGTATCTTGTAATTTTCTTTTTCTATTATCCTCTTCTTCAGTATCACTATTCTCACTATTTGATGTATTATTGGTGTTACTATCACTATACTCTTCCTTATCCTTATCCTTATCCTCTACATTACTATTGTTATTACTCTGACTATCTGTATCACTAACTGTCATATTTAATATCTTCGAATATCTTTCTGAAAAAGGTCTTGCTTGTGGAATTTCTTCAACATCTCTCATTCTTACATCGTCCCCGTCCTTATCTAGATCTTGTTCTTTACTACTAGCTACCTGTTCATATATTTTCCATTTTCTACTTTCTTCTTCAAAATGTCTCTGTTGATAATAAATATTTGCTATTATAAATAATTTTTCTTTTTCTTTTTCTTTTTCTAATTCTTTAGGTGGTTCATTATCTCTAAAAAATTGTTCTTTAGTCCTTAACTTATGTGGATAATATTTAATTAAAGATCTCGATGGAAAATTAGGATGTGTTCTATTATTTCTATTTACTTGTGCTACTGCTCTATCTGGTGTAACTGAGAATGGCTGAGTACTATTAATATTATTCGAAGAAGTTGTCACTTGCCTTGTTCTATATTGTTGTTGTTGACGTTGATATGGTTGTTG